GATGGATTGTAAAAAAAATCTTAATGCTAAAATTATAATTAAAAATTTGTTGAGAACATTAGTTTGTACATTTGTTAGCTTTTCAAAACATAAGGTCAAAGATGATCATCTAGTCTCTCATAGAAAGTTTCTTAATCTTTTTAATGGTTTTGGCAAGAAGGTTGATTAGTCATGAAAATGCAGGATGAGTGTGATGGCTTCAAGAGAGTCAAAGTAGATGTTGACTTTAATGAACTTATCATTCCACCAAATGTTGAAGCCTTCTAGGATGTTCAAAAGCTTAGCAATGGTGCTAGGTATGTTAAGTTATTTCAGGAAGCCTTTGATCTAGTTTCTTTGATCATCATGAATAAGGCTTTTACAAGTAGCAGCACTATTGTATTTGATAGAATTGTTAGCTTCAAGTCTAAGTCATCCAAGTTCAAGTAAGTATCATCCTGCAAGAGCTTTGACTCTATCATGATGTCTTTGGTACAATTGAAAGTTGAGTTTTAATAAGGTTTCCATTGGGTGAATACCTATCCAAAGACATGTGATTGAGTTTTAATAGAAGGTTGAGACTATTGATGATGTATTAGGTGCAATTGAATTGGATGCAAGTGAAAGTAATGTCTTAGACAGAAATGTCTTCTTCAGAATAAATGAGCTTGTATCTTCTTTCAAGATGTTCCAATAGTAACATAAATTATCAAAGAGTTGGCATTAAGGGGTTCTTGTTACCAAGCCTCTTGTGTCATTCTTAGCATTTTAGAGTATCTTATCTTGCAGAGGGAAGGGAATAAATATATTAAATTTAGAATGCTTGATCAAATCTCATTCATATATTCCAAGATTTAAATCAATCACGCAAAATGTGGATGGAAGAATCTAGTGAATAGCAACCAAAATTACAGACTCTCTTATAAGGACTAACATCATCACAGGTGATAAATTTGGTATGAAGGTATCCCAAGTAGCTTTCTAGATAAAGGTTTTATTTTTTATTTTTTTAAATAAGTAGGTCACTTCCAAATTTTGGACCAATTTCAAAATTGTTGTTGCTGCCTTTGTTTTCAGTAACTTTGTAAACAAACTTGGTAGGGAAGCTACTATCAAAAGAAGACCCTTAATAGAAAATGTCATGCCCATTGGAATCGATAGGTTGCACAAGCAAGATGGTTTTAATCAATTTGGAGTAAAATTACTATTATATCCTCCAGTGATTGAGAAAAAATATGAGACTTTGGCATGTGACATCAATGTTAGGGAAGGCATAATCAACGAATAAAAAAGTATAAAAGACAAAATTAACATGATTCAAATATAGAAGGGAGATAGATCAACTAGGTTCAGGAGAAATTAATGATAATTTAATTTAGGGGAAAACTTACGTGCTTAATATATTTTTATTCAATCAAATTAACACAAATGAATTTTGATGTATTAAAAATATTAATAACAAAAGAGTTTATTATAGAATAAAAAATTTAAAAAAGATTCATATGTCTTGATTAAATTGAAAACAAGCATCTTATATATATATATATATATATATATAATTAAGTATTTAGTTTTTCCCTTAAATTAGTGAGAGTGTGAGTCATTGTTCATAAGGTTTGTGAAGGGTGTGATGATTTTCTTATCTTTGTGGTATTTAGTATTAGATTTTATCATATTTATTACAAAGGGTGTGTGATTTAATTAGTCTTACCCCAATATTTTGTGTGTTTGCTAAATATGTCCCTTTAAGAGCTTATTACAAAATCACATCAAAACAAATTTTCATGTTGTTATGATATGAATTGGTTTTTTTTTTTTTTGAGAGGATGACAAATAAATTTCACCCAAATAGTTAAATAACAAAAGAGGAGTACGAAATGAGGTAATTATTTTGAAGTTTTTAAGGACATATATGATATTAACTTTTTCATGAAATGAATATAATGCCCTCAAAGGTAAATGACAACTTCATAGTAACAAATGATCATTTTCATCAAGCGAGTGACTAAAATAGTGGACAAAATAATTACTTTCATTTTTTAATTTCATTTCATAAGTATTGAATTCTGAGAGCAAATGATAACTGTAGATTGACAAATGACTACTTTTATTAATTGAATGACTAAAATAATGTAGGAAATGATTACTTTTATTTTTCAATTTCATTTCATAAGTGTTGAATTCTAAAGGTAAATGACAATTTTAGAGTAACAAATAACTACTTTAATTAAATAAGGGATTAAAATAGTATATGGAATAACTATTTCTATTTCTCAATTTCATTTCACAAGTGTTGAATTCTAAAGGTAAATGACAATTTTAGAGTAACAAATAACTACTTTAATTAAACAAGGGATTAAAATAGCATATGGAATACCTATTTCTATTTCTCAATTTCATTACATAAGTGTTGACAAATGGAAGTAATCATTTTCCACGATATTCTTTTTTTTTTTGATAATATTTCTACAATATTCCGGTAACTCGTTTAATAAAAGTAGTCATTTATTAATATAAAGTTGTCATTTACTTTCAGAAACATTATAGTCATTTCGTGAAAAAAATTGATGTTAGATAAATACCTCAAATTTCAAAATAATTACCCTATTTTGTGGTACTCTTTTATCATTTGCTGATTTATTTGTCATTTTCCTTCAAAAACATAACATAGATATTCGGGTTAAATTCAGTTGCACCAATAAAACTATTAAACCATTATTTTGATCAGTTTAATAAAATATTTTGTTTAAGATTAGCTTAATCATAATTCAATAATGGTTTCGATCATTAATCATTGAAAATCAGTCTTGTTTTCAGCACCTTGCTCAAAAATATTCACATAATTTCTAAATTTTTTAAAAAAATTAGCATAATTTTTAAATATATAGAAAACTGTAGAAGGGAAAAAAAAAATAGCAAGAGGTAGTGAGGCACAAAATCTGTTGGCGTTCGACAGGATTAAATACTGGTATTGGCATGATATTGGACTGAAAACGAATCGAAGTGTGAAAAGGAAGAGAAGAAGACAATCTATATTAAATTGATTTCAAACTTTCTACAGGTTACATATGTGAACAGTTTGTTTTTTTTTAAAAAAAAAAACTTTCTACACCGATTCTAAGAAATTTAAAAATTAAAAAAGGAAGCCAGTGATCATAAGTTCATTGTAAGATCTAGAAAAGATGCAGAAAAAGTGGAAGTAGATCTACATTCAAGACTAGCAGAGGCACTTTTACCATCCAAAACCCAAACCTGGAGGCCTATATCCCAATGGAATAGAAACTCTGATTGTAATTATGATGGGAGAATGATAGAAAAATTTTAAAAAGATTAATTAATTTAACTTAAGTCTAAAGTGTTAGACTTTAGGAATTTATAAGTTTGATTTTTAATTTTATAATTTTATTGTAATAAATTTACAACTTATGTTACAAATTTTAATGGAAAAAACAGTTTATTCTTTAATTATGTTAAAATTTAAAAAAATAAATTATAAATTTTTAAAATTTGATATTTGAAACTTAAATTAAATTAATTGATCTTTCTAGATATCTCTGTCATTCTCTCATTATGATTTGACTTCCTTTTTTTTTTCTTTTCTTTTTCTAAAAAATACTTCCTTTTTTTCTTTTCTTTTTTCTTAATTACTCCCTTCATCGTAAATTATAAAACAGTTTTAGATAAAATCTCACTTATCAATAAAATTTATTAAATACACTTTACAATTTTATTTTTTTAAGACAACAATATAAAATTTTAAAAATACCTTTAATTTAATTTTCTATTGAAAAATCAATATTGAAGAGAAAAAATGTATGAAAAAGATAATATTTAAAAAATATCATTTGAAATGCTGAATTAAAGTGTTTTATATTTTAAAACACTAAATTTTATTTTAAAATTATTTTATAATTTAAAATAGGAAAGTACATCATATGCTTTTTACGGTGTGCAAATGGGCCCCTTGTTTTCATCCCACCGTTATTCCTTGTTCTTTTCATGTACTATACATTTCAAATTACTAACATTATTAAATTAATAATTATATTATATTACTTTTCATATCCAGAACTGATTTTACTATGTTAAAGTAGTGGATTTGAAATTCTAGTATATTATTTTAGTAATCAAAAGAGGCTAGTCCCAAGGGGCAAAACAAGGGGTGTGAAAAAAATAAAATTTAAGAGAGACTGACATGGCAACATATATAACCACGCGTCCCTTGCCTCTCCAAAATAAATTTAAGGGAGAATCTTAATTAAATGCCATCGTAAAGATTTAATTTTAAATGGGTCTAAAAAATTTTAAAATTTTAATTCAATTCAGAAAAAAAAATCAAAAGAATTTTATCGATAAAAAGATTAAAATACTTTTCATTTGTTATACATAATTATTAGTTATTAATTTTATTATTACACTTATTAATTTATGAATATGAGTTGCAAATTGCATCCCTTTATCAGACAATCAGCAATATTAGTTATTAATTTTTTAATTTTACTTGTTAATTTACTAACATCAATTGTAAATTACTGACATATCTTGTAATTTACAACTGATGTTAGAAAATTAATAAGTAAAGTTAGCAATTTAACAATTAATGTTGCTACTTATAATTGAACAACTGATGTCAAGTGTTATATAATTATTAATATGTCAACTCATGTAATTTGCAACTTATATTTGTAAATTTAAATTAACAAGTGGAGTGAAGAAATTAACAACTAATGATTTTGTATAATAAATTAAGAATATTTTAATTTTTTATCGTCAAAATTCTTTTAATTTTTTTTCTTGGATTGGACTAAAATTTTAAAACCTATCTAAAATGAAATCTCTCTTATAGTTCTTAATTAAAATTCTACCTAAATTTAATCCCTCTACTAGTTGCTCCACCTCAAACCAACCTCTTCCCCACTCGTTCTCTCTCTCTCTCTCTCTCTCTCTCTCTCACACGCATCCTCTTCGTTTCTTTCACTCCTCTTTCATTCTTCTTTTTCCTTGTCTCTTCGCTGGCAATCATGAAGTTCATCTTTGGGCTTCTCACATTTGTTACCGTCGGCCTAGTCATCGGTAATGGAATAAAGAAAAAAAAATTATATGCTAATATGAATTGGTTTTTTTTTTTTGGGTGACTTGCGCGTGAATTTCAAGTTGAGTTTCATGTTTTCTTAAACAACAAGAATAGTACTTTTTTCTTTTGTCTGTTCACTAGAAGTTCAGTATGGTAATCATGAAAGCTTCTTATCATTCAATTTATTTTTGAAGGGTGGTTTATCAATTATCTGTTTCTGGTTCTTCTGCGGTATTCTTTTATGTGAGGTTAGGGAAGAGAAAGAAACAATGTATTGAACAAAAAAGGAGACCCCAAAAAAACAGAGGCAAAGTAATAAGAACTGGGCGCCACTTGATGGACCCACGACGTTGTTCCTCCGTAATTAATTTTTCATGATTTTGTTGTTATTCACCTAAAATTATGAACAAAACAGTGAAACAAGTGAAGTTTAAACTTCGGATGAATCCAAGTTGATGGAACATCCTAAACTGGGGAATCTGTTCTTTTAGAAACTTGTCTGTCCTGCCTTCCTGGAAAATTTATTAGCAACCCAGAAACAGAATGCAAAATCCCAACATTTGTCATTAAAAAAAAAATCCCAACTTCTATTTGTGTTTTATTTCCTTTCTTAACTGGAGGATGATATCTTCTACTTTGATGTAGAGTTGACAACAGAAATAGAATGATAATATATTTCAAAAAAAATATTGGATGACTTATTAGCAATTTCAAGATAGCTTGACACAGTGCAATCATATGAACGGATTGTTTTCTATTTTGGAATTGCAGGTTCTGTCTCTCAATTGGCACTTTTACGAAAATTGGAAGACTCCCATGGTAAACAAATGCAATCATATTCTTTCACATTAGGACATAAGAATTTTGAAGATTTTGAAATTATTATGTTTTGTTACACACACATAATATAGACTTTCCATGATCAAATTATTGTTTGGCACTTTGTGGTTGTAACTATTGAAACGTTTGTCCTCCCCTGTTTGTTGAATGAAATGATTTTTTTTAAACTTTTTTTGGAATGATTTTGATTATTCTTATAGCAAGTGAGCATGTCTCAGGTTTGTACTGGAATGATTTGTGGTCTGAAGCTATTACCCATCTTAACTGACGTTAGATCAAGTAATATGATCACCTGTCGAGAATAGATACTAAAGATGTAATGCCAATAAGATTTATGGTAGATGTTTTGTTTCAAGAAAAAATGACAATAAAATCTCTCTGAAATGTATAAATGATAATTTAGTCCCTTAAAATGCAATAATTTCCTTGAAGTCCTAAAATTTTTTCTATCATTAATGAATTGATTTAAATTACCAAATTGCCCTTATTAAAAATAATTGATTCACAAGTTTTGTTTAAATATTTACAACTTTCCTTCTTATATTCACAATAATGCAATAGCAAATCACAACTTCGCATGTTAATTCTTTATATGCTGTTGCATTGTTGCAAATATAAGAAAAAAAGTTGTGAATATTTAAATAAAACTTATGAATCACTTATTTTCAACAAGGGTAATTTGATAATTTATATAAATTTATTAATAACAGAAAAGTTTCTAGAGACTTCAAGAAAATTATGATATTTTGAGAATTAAATTATTCTTTATACATTTTTGAGAGACGTTATTATCATTTCCTCTTAAATTATAGATTTTGAAAATAAAAGAAATGTCTATATAATTTTAACAAACTTAAGAGGAGGTCATTGTATTTTATAAGTCAAAAAGAAATTGGCACATCAATTCTACTGATTAATCTTTTGAGTTTGAATCGCAAGTAAAAAAATAAAAAATAATAAGAAAAAACTACATGTAGATCTCAAGGACAAGATTTATTTATCATAAAGGTACATTTTTACTTTTAACTTTTTTTTAAAAGAGCACCCAATACTTTAAAATGTTTTACACAATATTTTGGAAAAATGACAAAAAATCCATTTAAATTAGGTAAATGACAGATTGGTCTCATAAAATGGTATAATTTTCCTGAAATCCCTTGGAATCTTTTTGTCAGTAGGGAATCAAATGAAATGATCAAATTGCCCTCAAAGTAAACAAAAATCTCAATCCTCACTGAAGAAAAATTTGCGCGCGTTTAGACTCTGCTTCATCTTGTTCCTAGTCTCATCTCTCTCCTTTATGGTCTTCTTCTGGTCCGTCTCCCTCTCCCTCTCCTTCTCCTCCTCCTCCTTCTCCTTCTCTTTCTTCTTCTCGTTCTCATGTTCCCTTTTTTTTTGTTTCTGTGCGTGGGTTGTTTGTTTTGTTTAGCTGCTGTACCTAGGTATATATAAGCAAACATTCTTCCTCTGTTGTGTCTGTTGTACGTGGATAAATTTCCTCTCCTCCTTGAAATTTTCTTGTCCCATATGTGATAGTTGAAGTTGATATGGGTTATTGTACATAAATTATTGAGGTCTTCATTTTCCCTCCATGCTTAATGCTGAAAAACATGGGTACTGATGCTTACTCAAAGGGTATTGATAAATTACAATTCTTTATTGCATAGTTGCAAATTTAAGGACAAAACTTGTTAATATTGAAACCAAAGTTGTAAATGAAGACTTGCAAATTTCCAACTCTGATGCATGTCTGGACTTGCACACTAGGACTTACGAATGGCTAATAAATTATTATGAATTTTAGGACAAAACTTATTAATATTGAAACCAAAGTTGTGAATGGATACTTACGAATTTCAACTTTGATGCATGTTTGGACTTTGACACTAGGACTTGCAAATCATAATAAATTGTTGCAAATTTTGAGACAAAAGTTATTAATCTAAGAACCAAAGTTGTGAATGAAGATTTGTGAATTTTCAACTTTAATACTTGTCTAGACTTGCGTACCAGTACTTACGAATGGCTAATAAATTGTTGTGAATTTAGGGACAAAACTTATTAATATTGAAACTAAAGTTGTGAATGTAGACTTACGAATTTCCAACTCTGATGAATGTCTAGGCAAATGTGTCATTTCCTTTAATTCCCTAATGACAAAAAGATCCTAAGTGACTTCAAGGAAATTATACCATTTCGTGGGATTAATCTATCATTTACCTAATTTAAATGGATTGTACTATCATTTTCTCTTGTTTCAATAACCTAAGAAACAATCCTAACAAGAAAATGCTTCCAAGGATTTTTAAACACTGTTATGGTAATGCCAAGTTATCTTAAAAGTACATTGCATTATCGATGAAGAATAATTAGATTAGTCCTTAAGGTTAAAGCCATTAATTCAAGTAGGCTAGGCTCAATTCTTACAGGGATCACACTTAAAGTATCCTATCCTTTAAAAAAAGCTCATATAGTCAAGCTCGGACCTAACTTTTTTTTTTTTGCCAGGTTTGGGCTAGCTCGTCTAACTTAGCCAAAATTGTCGGCTACTAGGGAAGAGAAAATAAGGGCCTATTTGGCAACCTATTTTGGAAACAGTTTTTTATTCTTCAAAACAAAAAAAACTATTTGGTAAAGTGATTTCAAAAAGTGTCTTGGACAACAAAAAAATGAAATATTGTTCTGAAAAAAATAAAAATAAATTTTAGGTGTTCTGAGATAATTGTTTTGGAAAATAAGAGAGAATGAAAAAAATACCTATTCTCATTACTTTTTTATTCTCAGAACATGTTTTATAAAACACCAGTTCTTAGACAAATAAAATAAAAATAGTTTCAGACATGCTCTAATTCTCTTATTTTCTAAATGAAGAGCACAAAAAAATATATACACAGGGGGCCTTTAATTAGAAGCCCTAAAATTAGGAAAATAAAATAAGAATACTTTAGATATTAAATTAACTCCCTAAACATAGGGTATTTACATAATAATAATAATAAATATTCTTATTTATTACTAGGATTTCTATACTTTCCTTCAAGTTAGATCATAGATATTTATCATATCCAACTTGATCATAGAGTCTTCAAATTTTTCCTTTAAAAGCCCCTTTGTGAGAATATATGCTGTTGGTTCTTGGCTTGACACAAAGATGAGACATACAACTCCTTCTTCAATCTTTTCCCTAATGAAGTGCCTATCAACCTCAATATGTTTGGTTCTATCATGTTGGACTAGATTGTGAGAAATACTAATGGCTGCTTTGTTGTCTAAATAATGTATCATAGGAAATATTGCTTCAAGTTTCAGATCTTCTAATAGTTTTTTAAGCCATAGTCCTTCACAAATTCTATGAGCTATTGCTTTGTATTTAGCTTTAGCACTTATTCTTGACACTACATTTTTTTTTACTTCTCTAGGTAACTAAATTACCCCATAATAGCTACCGTATCCTAAGATTGATTGATCTCCTATCATTATAAGCACCATCCTAATCAGCATCTGTAAAAATTTCTGTATCCCTTTTTGGAGACTTTTTGCATATGAGACCTCTCCTAAGAGTTCTCTTAAGATAAATAAATAAGCTTGCCAACTAACTTCTCATATCTCCCTTGGTCAACCTGTTCTTCTTTGACTTCCTTCTTCATTGGTTTCTTCTTATTTTTCTTCTTTTGCTTGATCATTCTCGCTAGAGTATTACTTTGTCTACAGCTAACATGCTTATTTCCTTTAAGAGATTAAGTACATATTTTCTTTGAGAAACATATTTCCATGCCAAGGAGGTATTTCATTTCACTAAGATCCTTGATTTTAAACTCTCTTGCCATAGACAACTTTATTTTTGTAATTTCTTCAGCACCATCTTTGTGGTTGAAGAACATAAACCACAAAGATAGTTTTCTTACCTTCTTTGTGCTTGAAGAACATAGTATGGTCACTTCACCCTTGAATGTAGCCTTCAGCCTTGAGGACATTTGTAAACCTTTAAAACCAAGCACGAGGGAACTAATTTAACCCATATAATGACTCTTTTAGGCTCTCAGCTTGCATACTTTATTATTTTCTTCTCTACAGAAGCACATGGAAGCATCACATGTACTTCCTCCTTTAAATCACCATTTAGGAATGCATTCTTGACATTTATTTGGTTCAAAGACCAATCTAGATTTAATGCTAGTAAGAGGATAATTCTAATAGTGTTAAGTTTTGCAATTAGTGCAAATGTCTCAACGTAGTCTAAGCCATATACCTGTGAGAAGCCTTTGGCTGCCAAACTAGATTTATACTTATCTAATGTCCTATTAGCTTTATACTTGATTGCAAACACACTCTTGAACCCTATAGGTTTCTTGCCTCTTGAAATGTCAATCACATCCTATATACTACTCTTCATTATAACATCCATCTTATCGATAATTGTTGTTGTCCATTCAAGTGATTCAAGTGCCTCCTTTATATCATTTGGTACTTTAATTTTTTCTAGACCAACAATAAAGGAATGATATGAAGAAGAAAGTACCTTGAAATGAACCTCTCAATTGGATGCTTAGTGTAAGTTCTAAGCTTCTTTCTTATAGAAATAGGAAGGTCAAGATCACTTTAAATTTCATTTTGTTTGATCATGAAAAATTTCCTTAACAAGTAGATCTATATCAAAAACATCAATAACTTCTAATATTTGATTATAATCAAGCTTCGTACCTAGTTCTAATTCTTGGTTCACACTAGATACTTGTGGCTCGCTGCTTGATTATTTTCATTCGAGTATAAACCCTTATAGAGTTCTCATTTATATCTTTATTTGAGTCATTGAGATTCCCTTCAACATTAGATTAGGCAACAACAAGAGGATAAAAAAATGAGAGGGTTTTCTAAATTAATAGGATATGGTGACTAATTTTCTTCAATAGGCTGAAATTCACTCCTACTCTCCCCTTAAATTAAAGGCTTAAAATAGAATGGAACCTTTTTATGAAAAG